ATGAAAAGATACAACCTCGAGGTGCTCGGCATCAGTGAAACGCATTGGACACAGGTAGGACAACTGAGACTAGCTTCAGGGGGACTGCTGTTATACTCTGGTCATGAAGAGGAAAATGCTTCACATACACAAGGAGTTGCACTGATGCTGTCCAAACATGCACAAAAGGCACTGATAGGATGGGAATCTCATGGACCGAGGATCATCAAAGCATCCTTCAAAACAAAGAAACAGGACATTACAATGAACGTCATCCAATGTTATGCACCTACCAATGACTACAATGACGACGTTAAAGATCAATTCTACGAAAGGCTGCAGTCAATCGTCGATAAATGTTCACCAAAGGATTTGACGATTCTTATGGGAGACCTGAATGCCAAGGTTGGAATGGACAACACTGGATATGAAGACATCATGGGATGACATGGACTGGGAGAAAGGAACGAAAATGGTGAGAGATTTGCAAACCTATGTGCCTTCAACAAACTGGTCATCGGTGGCACAATATTCCCGCACAAACGCATACACAAAGCCACATGGATTTCACCGGACCACACTACTCAAAACCAGATTGATCATATCTGTATCAACAAAAAGTTCAGAAGGACTATGGAGGATGTGAGAACCAGGAGAGGAGCTGATATAGCTTCAGATCACCATTCGCTGATCACCAAAATGAAACTGAAACTAAAGAAGCACTGGACAACGGGACAGACAACATCACACAAGTTTAATACAGCCTTTCTTCGGGATACTGTAAAGCTCAACGAATTCAAGATAGCCCTCACCAATAGGTTCCAGGCCTTTCAGGATCTACTCAATGGAGAGGAAGCAACATTGGAGAACAATTGGAAAGGGATTAAGGAGGCAATCACTTCAACATGTCACGAAGTTCTGGGTCACAAGAAGTACCATCACAAGGAATGGATCTCTGTTGATACTCTTGCAAAAATTGAAGAAAGGAGGAACAAGAAGGCAGCAATCAATGTCAGCCGAACAAGAGCAGAGAAAGTTACCGCACAAGCTGCATACACAGAAGCAAACAGGAAAGTGAAGAAGAGCATCAAAGCCGACAAACGAAAATATGTGGAAGATCTAGCAATGACGGCGGAAAAGGCTGCAAGAGAAGGAAACATGAGACAATTGTACGAAACAACAAAGAAGCTCGCCGGAAACTATCGTAAACCAGAACGACCAGTGAAAAGCAAGGAAGGCAAAGTAATCAGCAACACTGACGAACAGCGAAATAGGTGGGTGGAGCACTTTAAGGAACTCTTGAATCGACCAGCTCCACTGAACACACCCAACATCGAAGCAGCATCCACGGACCTCCCAATTAATATTGACGCACCTACGATTGAGGATGAGGAACAAGTACCATCAGATTGGAAAGAAGGATACCTCATCAAAATACCAAGGAAAGGCGATCTCAGCAAGTGTGAAAACTACAGAGGCATCACTCTTCTTTCAATACCAGGCAAAGTCTTCAACAGGGTATTGTTAAACAGAATGAAGGACTTCGTAGACGCCCAACTTCGAGATCAACAGGCCGGATTTCGTAAGGATCGATCGTGTACTGACCAAATTGCTACATTACGGATCATTGTGGAACAATCAATTGAATGGAACTCACCACTCTACATCAACTTCATCGACTACGAGAAAGCATTTGATAGCGTGGATAGGAAAACACTGTGGAGGCTTCTTCGACACTACGGTGTGCCTGAGAAAATAATCAACATCATACGGAATTCTTATGATGGATTCAACTGCAAAATCGTACACGGAGGTCAGCTCACAGACTCTTTCGAGGTGAAGACCGATGTCAGGCAGGGTTGCTTACTCTCACCCTTTCTCTTTCTCCTGGTGATCGACTGGATTATGAAGACGTCAACATCTGGAGGGAAGCACGGTATTCAGTGGACAGCTAGGACACAGCTGGACGATCTGGACTTCGCAGATGACCTGGCTCTTCTATCGCACACGCAACAACAAATGCAAGAGAAGACGACCAGTGTAGCAGCAGCCTCTGCAGCAGTAGGTCTCAACATATATAAAGGAAAAAGCAAAATTCTCCGATGCAACACAACATGCACCAACCGAATCACGCTGGATGGAGATACCTTGGAGGACGTTAACACCTTCACATATCTTGGCAGCATCATCGACGAGAAAGGTGGATCGGACGCAGATGTGAGGACGCGGATTGGCAAAGCTAGGGCTGCATTTCTACAGTTGAAAAATATCTGGAACTCCAAACAACTTTCAAACAAAACCAAAATCAGGATTTTCAATACAAATGTCAAGACAGTTCTACTGTATGGAGCGGAAACATGGAGAACTACCAAAGCCATCATCCAGAGGATACAAGTGTTTATTAACAGTTGTCTACGCAAAATACTTCGTATTCGTTGGCGAGACACTATTAGCAACAACGAACTGTGGGAGAGAACAAGTCAGATTCGAGTGGAAGAGGAAATGAGGAAGAAGCGTTAGAAGTGGATAGGACACACACTACGAAAAGCACCCAACTGCGTCACTAGACAAGCCCTCACATGGAACCCTCAAGGCAAAAGGAAAAGAGGAAGGCCAAAGAATATATTACGCCGAGAAATAGAGAAAGATATGATAGGAATGAACAAACATTGGACAGAACTGGAGAGGGAAGCCCAGGACAGAGTTGGTTAGAGAAAACTGGTGGGCGGCCTATGCTCCATTGGGGGTAACAGGCGAAAGTAAGTAAGTAAGTAATATAGTGATGTTCTAAGGATTTTACTTTTTCCCCAGTGTACTTTCAGATCTACTGCTGAAGAGGCCGTTGCTAAACTAGCCATCTTCTCCTGAATTTGTTGTTGTGTTTAGGATAGAAGACCTACGTCATTTGCGAAGCCCAAATCATATGATCTTAACCGAGCTGTTCACTCTATTCCGTGCTTCTCCTGAGACAGTTAGGTCTTCATAATTCAGTTAACTAGCAGAAAGAAGTGAAAAGGTGAAAGCAAGCAACTTTGCCTAACACCATTCCTCAGGTGGGATGAGTCCATAAGCTGTCCTCCATGCACAATACTACAGTGTTATCATTCCATTCTATCAAATTTTCTCTTGCAGTAAACAACTTGATGTAGAGCGATGAGTTCCGTTCAACTGAATATTCCACAATGATCCGTGGTGTCGCGATATATATGTATATATATAAATAGTTCTGGTCATTTGGTTTTCAATATTCGTATATCGTTTCGCTTTTTGAACGCGTGGTACGATGATAAACGTCATTAAGGCT